TTTGTTTGAATCTGAGGGGAGTTGCTAACCTCAAAACATTTTTTGGGAAGCTTTTTAATAGGGGAAAGGGGGTAAAGCTTTTACTATAAAAATTTACATTTTAAACACAACTATCCAGCCAGTTAAAATATTTTAAAAGCCGAAAATTAATAATTTTTTTCCCCCCAGGTTGGCTTAATAAAACGGCCGCGCAACGACTGCCCCAGAAATCTGCCTGGTTAGCCCGCGACATATTTTTTGGAAGCCGCAAGCTCCAAAATCCAAAACGTCACACCTGGCCGGGACGCCCGGCGATGTTTAATTTTCCGGGGAGTCTCTCATATATGGGATACCCCGTCGTAAATAGGGTTAATGGAGTCTCCAGCAATTGGCAACATGTACATGACTGAGCAGGGGTGATTTGAACGGTCATGACCAGGTTGGGTCACATAGAGGTTCAGCGAGGCTGTGGGGGCAACAGTGGGCTAGGTGGGCCAAAATACCAACATTTCTGACATTTCCGAGGAAAGAGGTCAATAATGGTCAGACATGACAAGACAATCACCAATATAAACCTTATGGGGGTGGTCATGTCTACAGAAAGTTTAATCTTGCAATACTGGACATGGACTTATACTGGCCTCTTAGAGGGAAATAGGGGTAACTGTATTAAATAATTGGTTGATAATAATAAATTTGGTGGTTAAAATTAATATATTTTATTTGAAAAATATATTTGGTGGGGGTGGGGTGGAAAAATTAAAAAAATATTTTTTGAAATACTAAAAAAATAAAGTTATCATTAATATTATAATAATAATAATTTTTTAAAAATTTTTATATTTATATTAATTATATTTGGTGGATATAAAAAAAAAATATAATTGGGAATAAAATAAAAAAAAATAATTTATTTAATTAATAAAAAAAAAATTATAAATAATTATAATAAGAATTTAAATAATATTTAATATTTTAATAAATTATTAAAATATATTTAATCTAATTTTGTAATACTATAAATAATTTTAAATAATTTTTTATAAAAAAATTATAAAGTATATTGGAAAATAAAATAAATTGTAATTATAATAATAATATTAAATTTTGTTAAATTTTATAAATACTTAATGAATATTTTGTTTTAATTTATTATATATTAATATAAGAATTTTTGAATTAAAATATATATAAATTATTTATTACAATAAATATTAATTAAATAAATAATTAATAATATATAGATAATATTGATTATGAATGTTTGTTGTTAATTATTAAATTAATTATTAAAATTTTTTTTATTTTATTAATAAAATTTAATTTTATAAAAATTTTTGGAATATAAAAATTAAATTTATAAAATTTTATATATTATAAATTAATTAATAAATATAATAATTGATTAATAATAATTAAAATTATTATTTTTAAATTATATAATTATTTATTGAAATAAAATAATTTTAATTTATTTGTTGTGTCAATTGTTTTATATAAATTATATAATTAAAAATTAAAAATAAAAATAAAATTTAATTTTTTTTTGTTATTATTTTTATTAATAAAATAAATTAATATTTATATTAGTATTAATAAAATTTTTGTTGTTGGTTTTGGTTGCTGTAAAATTTTTAATAAATATTATATTGGGTGTAAAATATATATTTTATATTATAAATAAATAATTAAAATATTTAATTTTATTATTGGATTTAAAAATAAAATTATTTGATATTGTTAAGTATTATTATTTTGTTTTTTTGTAATTTGAAATTTTTTAATAATCTATATTTAAAATAAATTTATTTAATAATAGAATTTAATATTTAATATTTAATATATATATATATTTTTGTTGTTATTAAAATAAAAATTGTGGATTTATAAATAAAATTATTTTTTTATATTAATTATAAAATATATATTATTTAAAATTTAATTTATTAAAATTATTTATTATAAAATTTTTATTTTCATTATATTTAATAATTAATATTTTTGTTTTTTATTTTTTTATAATATTTTAATTTTATATTAATTTTAATTATTATTATTATTATATAAAATTAAAATTATTATAAATTTATTATTAATTTTTTTTATATATAATTGATATTTTTTTAAATTTATTTTAAATAATTAAAATAATTATATTATATTTCATAAAAAATAATAATTATTTCAAATATAGTAATTATTTTTAAAAAATTTTAAAAATTATTATTGTAAATTATTCAATTATTATTTTTTTTTGGTATTTTAATTAATATTAATATATGAGAATTAATTAAATAATATTTTAAATAATATATTATTAATATTTTAAATTTTTTATTTTGTTTTTATTTAATTGTTTGATATTTTATTAAATTAATAATTTTAAGTTTAATTTTTGTATTAATATTATTATTTTTGGGGATTATATTTTATTTATATTTTATTAAATTAATATATTATATTATAAATATAATTTTATTTTTTATATTTTATTTAAATTTTAATTTAATATTATTTTTGATTAAAATTATAATTAATATTTTTTTAATATTATAAATTAAAATATAAAATTTTTAATTCATTTTTTATATTTAATTATTTTATATATTAGTACTTTTAAATAATAAATTATTATTTTAAGATTATTATATATAAAATAATATTTAATAATAATTTTGATAATTTTAAAAAATATATTTGATAAA